AGAGAGAGAGAGAGAGATGAGCGATCCAAGATTGGTTGTCACTTACCCGTGAGCCGAGCCGTGGAGTCCGGTGGAGGAGGAAGACGACTATAACCGCGGAGTATTAATACAGAGTACCGGAGGAGAGAGAAAGGGAGGACAGAGAAGGAGGGACTGAGGAGAGRGAAGAAGAAGTGTGGAAGGAGGAGAACGAAGAAGAAGACARACATAGCCGGGGGTGTGTATAAAAAAAAATATATATATATACAGCGAGGGTGACAAAGGTGATAGTGTCGGCAGCCATAGCCGAGGTTGAGGGTTGACCGGGCGTTGACCAAAGCGTTGACCAAGGGTTGACTAGAGGGTTGACCAGAGGGTTGACCAGGCGTTGACCGAGGGTGTTCACCAAGCGTTGACTCGGGGTTGTCCGCGCTGACTTAGCGTTGACCAAGGCGTTGACCGGAGCTGCTGACCAAGATTTTGACCAAGCTGGAGTTGGTGATATCTCGCTGAGCCCTTAGCCTATCCCCTTACCCCGTGGATGTGCACTTACCCCACGGTACTTGTTGAGTTGTCTGTCTACTCTTTCTGCATTGAGTCTCTTCTGTCTTAGGTGCTAGGACTCTGTGGATGAAGGATAGGGCCTTGCTGCCAAACCTGCACGGGCTTAGTAGGACCAAAGCTCTACTCTGGCACTTGGAGACCTGCGCACGAGTGGCGAGCGCTCGTTAAACAACTCGTCTAGCCCAATGACCVGTACTGTCCGGCAGGTCTACTGAGTTCAGTGTGGAGGGTCTGAACTCCGAGCTGTAGGCTGAAACGAAGGCCGTCTTTAAGTGTTGAGGCCTGGTTGAGCCACTCCCCTACCGGACCCAGAAGGCTGATGATCCGTGTCTGATGACTCGACTGTCCCGAGGGATACGAACCCCTCCAAGGACCGGTACTGACCGGCAGGCTGCTCGGTGTGGCACAGGAGGCTGGACGGGCTGAGTTGTGGGCTGAAATCRCCAGAGGAACCAAGCTGATCGCGTCGTCCTGTCTGCAACGTTAAAGAATTCTTGCGAAGTTTGGGGGATCTTCTTAAATACCTCCTGATCAGCTCTTGGTTCTATAGTGACAGCCTTAGAGTAGTCTTGGGTTAGTTGTGATCATCATTGACATGGTCTTATCTTGTGGTCCTTAGGGAGTCAGTCAGTAGGTTAGAGTGTCCGGGTAGGTCTACATGGTGAGGAGTGGGACCTTTGTCTTGCACCAACACCACGATGGATGACTATCCGATGTATGGGCTACTTGTTGGGTTCTCCCTCTGGGGGACCCTTTGGCGTCTCCTCTTTCCTCTGGGCTTTTGGCCCACTTTCACGTGTAGAGTAGGGCCCACTCGTGGTGGTACTTCCACCAACCCCTAAACGACGGAGGAGGAGGAGAAGATGGCCGCCATTCTGCAGGAGAAGAAGGAGAAGGAGGCCAAGAAGAAGGCCTTGAAGGAGGAGCAGGCGGCCAAACTGAAGAAGATAGAGGAAGAGATGGCCAAAGAGAAGGAGAGGATACAGAAAGAAGAAGAAGAGAAGTTGAAAGAGGTGGAAGAGGAGGAAGAAGATGAAACGTCGTTGCAGAGGAAGAGGGTGCAGTACAGTGGTAGTAGGGATGAAGAGATGGAGAAGCGAATCTCCGAGTGGGTCGCCAACTTATCCCTGGGCGAAGAAGAAGAGGTGGCGATGTATATCTCTAAAGATGATCAGGAAGCCGCTATGAGAGCTTGGGAAGCAGAAAGGGATGTTGTGAAGCGGCATGCATTGGAAGACGAAAAGAGGATGGAGTGGAAGTTGGCAGTGATGAGGGAGAAGAAGAGGAGAGTGGACGCGGCAACGAAGGCGGCAAAAGAATTAGAGGAAGTAAAGAATATAGAAGAGCAACTGGCCGCCCAGACCGAACTCCCAGCGCAAATGCGGGTCATAGCCCGAAACGTAGCACGCCTCGCACGAATTCAGGCGAAGCAATATGATTTTAGTAGAAGTCAACACATAGCTGTACGTTCCATAAAGTTGGGGTTTCGGGACTTTGCGCGTGAGCTGGTAGGCGCTATAGGGACCGAGGTGGGTCACCGCCTCGACAAGACTGAGCGGTTCTGTGCCGKYSCCATTGAGGGCGTCAAAGCGGCAGCTCCCAAGGAGGAGGAGGCACGTCCTCCTCGTCGGGAACCGGTCAAAGTCAATTTCCCTGATTCCTACAGTGGAAAAAGGGAAGAGAACTTCGACAATGGGGAGGCCAAAGTCAAGACCTATGTGCATCTGCAACAGGTCTCCCCGGATCAGCAGGTTCTGATTGCGTTTTACGCGCTAAGAGATGAAGCCGCCAGCTTTGCAAGGTCCCTAGTTCACGCTGCCAATTGCAGCGATGACCCTGTTGCGTACTCCTCGTTCACTTCCCTCACTGAGTTCTTGAAGCTGTTGCGCGAGAGGTTCGCCGATGTTGCCCGTAGCGTTAAGGCCTCAGACAGGCTGCAGACGATCCACGCTCGTAAGTGGAAGAGCGCCAGGGCACTTAAGAGTACCATGGACGAACTGGTAGCTGTCCCTGACCACGGAGTTACAGACACCCAGTTGGTTGGCCTCTTTTATCGGGCTATACCCGAAGCCCTCCGAGGGCATTTCTTCGCAAAGAGCGAAGACCCTGCCACTACATACGATTCCCTTAGTCGCG